ATACACACCCTGACATCTCAGTTCACAGGCATAACCATCTGTTGGCACTTTCCTGTTCTTCGGTAGGTCAGCCTGAGGTATATTCTTCAGGTTGACGTAAATATACTCAGGATTTGTCTTGCAGGCTTGAATGCTGCGGCTCAGCATGAAATTATAGTTCGGCGAGTCACTCCCAGTCATGAACAAAGGGTCCCTAAAAGCGACAGCTAATGCAGATGCTACGCTACCAATCAGCCTTTGCTTCTCATCTAACGTCGACTGAGATATAGGAATAGGCTGGGGTGTGGAGACTGACTGAGAATTGGTGGGACTGCTTCTGCCCGGACTGTTATAGACTCTGCAGAATGGCTTGCTGGATGAGGGCCGGTCCTCATGACCGTACCCCAAACCCTGACGCCCCGAATCCCAGCCCACTGATCTACTCCCTCCCCCATAGCCATTGTATCTCTGAGTCTGAGTGTATGCTTCTGAATTACGAGAGCCGTGGGCTTCATATTTGACAATGTAGTCCTGCTGTGTTTTAGCCATGTAGTTTGAACTTGACCCACGTCCTCCATAACCCAAACCACTTGTACCTCCAGAAAAGTACTCTCTGTCTCGATCTCTGTCCCTATCTCTATGAGAACCCCATGACTCAGAGCTGTAAGATGGCACTCTGTCAAAAGCCGGCCTCAGGGAGGAGGAGCCCTGCGCTCTGCTGCTGCTACTATAAGAGGAGTGTTCAGCGTCCCACTGTCTTGCACTGTACAAGTCACTCCTCCTGCCCTCCTTGTCGTTCTCTTTCTCATCAGTGCCGGTACCCCCACTGCTTCCGCCACTGACAAAGTGAACAGGCTCAAATCGAGGTCTTGGACCAAATTTCGACACAGGCATTTTCCTCATGGGCTCGTCTCCTGCAATAACACGAAACAGTAGCTGTTAGAAACCCAGAAAGAATGTCTAATTTGACTTGGGGAAAGTAGAGATAAAGGAAACAAAAGTACAGTCCAATGAGTCAGATTTGTTATTGTTATGTAATGTGATTTCATTTAATGAATGGGAATGGATAGGGATGTGTATGTATGCTGGTTTTGCTGATATTGATGTGAAGCAAAGGCGAATGCTTCTTAAATGCACTAATAAAGCAAGTTTGTCACTTGTTTGTCAAAACTATTTCATTAGAATCAACAAGCAATAATAGCTGGCGGTTGTGGAAACACTGTCATGAATGTCTTTAATTGTCATGTAAACAAGCAAATCAACAAGTATATTGAAAAATCATTTAACACTATGCAGACTGTTTAAATAATATAATAATGTATTAAGATGTGTCTTAGTCAAAGATCTCTCACAAGTAAAATTAAGACTTTCTAAGACATTCTTTCTTTTAAGGCTTTTTAAGCATCGTCAGGGACCCTAAACAGAGTCTGCTATATATGACTGTTTTGACAATATCTGCCTTAATATCAATGCTGTGTGTAGTTCAGAATCACAATATCAACAAAAAAGAGCGGAGAAGAATGTACTAGTGAACAGAAAACGTAATGCAGTAGTTAAATTACTTGCACAAAGATCGTACCAATTATGTGTAAACAATCTATGGTCATGCCCCCATCATAGGGAATCAAAGTTAGCACCCCTCCCACTCGCTTTAGGTGTATTTTCTCCTATATCATATCCTGCTGCATTCTCACATCAGCTTCTTGGGACTTTCTGCAGAAAAAAATACTAAGGGGCAGGCAGGAGAAACTCCTGATAAAGTCCAAGTGAACAATTGGGCTTGTTTGTGTGAAAGCACCGTCAAAAAGTATTGACACAGACATATTAGCGATAAAAATGTGTTTTGTGACAATAACAAAAACCATAAATTGGATAGAGCTGCAATTTGCCACAACCATAAAGCCCAAATGTCACTCATTTTGACAGAGTCCAAACACATTAACTGCACATGATCAAGCCTAGTAAGACAGACTACTGTGCATTGAAAGAGAACATGTGCAGTGTCCAAGCATCACATAAAGTTAAGATAGTGTAGCTGCCTGCATGGCTGAACGGCACCAGGAAATAGTACACACACACACATCACCAGCCTTGGAATCAACGTAAGATTTAGTTGTCCTCACTTGCACGGAGGAAGTTCGGCTTTGAAAAGACGAATGTTTGTTTGTGTTGTATTGCCTTAAAGAGGCAAATCTGCAGACTATGTTGAAAAGCGGTTGATCAGCAAGCTCGACAACTTAATTGTTTCTGTAGTGGAAAATCATTTGATAATCTGCATCATTTGTAACTACATGATTTGTGAGATTTTACTGTTCATTGTAACTCATCATGATCCTATTTTAGTAAAAACTAGTTCACCTAATACGAGTACATTGATAAGAAACCCCTGCAAACATATCACAGACATACCCCAGTGAGGTTCAAAGTCTGTATTCTACTGCCAATGTTCGCAGACATAAGTAAACATCATCCTGTGCCTACGTGACTGGTTGGGTATAAAACCTCTGGATGGAGACAGAAGTAGAAGCAGAACTCTGATCCTTATCCCGGGGGAATGAACTGTTCCTATTCAGCGGAGTGGTTTCGCAGTAACTTTGTCTGTTTTCCTGTTTTGATTGCAGATTTTGATTCATAAACTCTTTGATTAACTTTCTCCACAATAAATTATATTTGGCTGATAATATCACTTCCCACCAGGATATCTTGCAGAAATGTCCGTGACAAATGGCGACGAGGATGGGAGGACAGAAGGCGCCATACAACAAGTGAAGCCTCCACAAAGGGTGAGACGCTGTCATCTAGCGGAGCCCTGATTTGAATTTGACCAAAAACAGTCAAACTTTGCTGAGATGATGATCATATTATTAAACGGGAAACTCTCAAATGAACTTGTGGACTTAACTGTTTATCGACATGTTGCAGTGAAACCTATAAAAGAGTGGACAACAGGCTGGAAAACACATTTGTAACAATCAACACTCACTTCCATCAGAAGAATTAGGTCTCTTTTTTGCTTCAGAACTTGAAGTTAGATCAAAGGAGGGCATGTCGCCAGTGCGAGTCCCTTCTGCCATCACCAGCACCGTCCAAATCAAAGCCAGGCCATACCTTTCACAGAGGAGAGAAGAGGAGAGAAAACAACATGACGTAAACGTATGAAAGAGGGGGGGAAACATTGCTGCCATGCGGTGTGCTGCATTAAAACACTGAAAAAATAATCATCACATGAGAGCAGAGTGCACTTAACTAAAATACAAAACTACACTACTAAGTTTTTTTTTTTTGGAAAGTTAATAAAAATCCGTGTTATTTTCCTATCAAAACAAGGCCCTGACAAAGTGACGCAGTAGGCCGACAGAGTCTCTCACATGCTAATAATAAAGATTAGCCTGCGTTTATGAACAACTTTTTTTGTTTGCGTGACTAATTAACTTAATATTCTCACCTGAAGGTGTAGCCTTTTGGTCCGATTTATAACTGCCCGTCAGCTGAACAAGTGACAGTGCAATGAGTTGTAGTCAGCCCGGCTATCATCATCATCATCCCTCAGCTAGTGAGCTCAACCTGGTGGCGGCTTGCTAGCGGCTTGCTAGCATTAGCCAGCTAGCAAGCCCCAAAAAACACAAAGCTGCACTTGAGCAGCGGGAAAGTCTCGTCCTGCAGGGTGCTAACACACTGAAGTCGGCATCAGAAGAAACCGATTTGTTGTAAGGTTTTTACCGTTTCAGTGAGGGTTATATAGAAAAGGCAAAAAAAAACACTTCAGAGCGACTTTTACCCATTCAGCTAAACAGTTAGCAGCAGGGAGCATCCATTTTCTGCTCCGGCTAGAGAAGAATTATGGCGTCTGACTTTTCACCGCCCCCACAATGCACCGCGGCAACATCAGTACTGCATTCAGTTTATGAGTATTCAAATCTGTACACATAATCACAACATCAGTGTTAGTGCAGTGCGGTGTTTATGTTTTTGCTGCCACAGAATTTGTTTTTTCCATATAAGAGATAAGTATTAAACATTTTCTTCACTGATTCATCCATTTAATTATAACCTACTTTAACCTGAAGAGGTCTAATTTGACCAGGTTTTGTGTTTTAATGTCATATTTATTTTAATGCTCTTATTGTTAATAGTGTGTTTAGGTATGTGAATCAACTTTGATAATCTTTAGAGTTTTTATGCTTAAATGGTTGTTTAACATTTTAAAACTGAACTTGTCTTACTTTATCTAAACAGTCAGAGAAATTCACCTAATCTGTGTCGATATTTGATTTTTTTTTTTGTCTATGTTCACAGTTAGATTATTTAAAAAAAAAAAAAAAACATTTCCATTAATTTTGACAAAACAGCAACTTTAAGACTTTTCTAGTGTCAAAAAAACGCCCCCCCCCCCACACACACACACACACACACACTCCTTTTGGCCCTTACAGTTATTTACATTGTGCTCTATGCAACTCTTGATAATTATATGTTTTTAATTGAGGGTCTGTTAACTATAACTTTATATATGTGCTAGCATATATAAAGAATCACAATCCTACAGTACATTTTAACATACAAGGAATTTGACTTGAAGTTCCAATATATTAATAAAATAGTTATTTCAAGGCAAATTTAACAATTTAAAGAGTTCTCAGTTAATGGCGATAGAGAAAAGGCAGCCTTTACAGTTTCCACAGATTCCAGAAAAATCAACACAAACAGCATTATCAGTAACTTTCTGAAACTATCAATAAAAGACAGAAGCATAACTTGTTTGGTTCATATTTTTATTGAAAATGTACATCAATGGAATTAAACTAAAGTAAGATACTGAATCATTTGTGGTGTGGGAGGTTTGACAACAAGGAATGACGGATACTAGAAAAATGTATGTCATTTTCTGACACCAAAATGTTACTTTACACTCAGAGTCACGTCCAAAGGTCATAGGTAATAAACAACAAGTCTCCACTTCAATACACAAAATATATCCTTATAAATTATATAAATGCATGAATATTGTCTTCTTTTTTTTTAAACTCATTTCTGGGATTCAGATCAACGCCACCTTGTACTTATTTGGCAGAAAAGGGAGCTGAAATAATAGGACAGAGCAAATATACATTATTAACTATATGCACCATTTGAAGAAACAGCAATGAAGTTGAAATAGACTGCAAACCAGAGTTTTAAGGGTATAAAAACAGGCAGGTCTGAGATCACAGTGGTAATAAAACAATAAGATGCATGCAAAATATAGAGTAGGCAGGTGAATCTTAAAGCACAATGTGTAGTAAAAGGCCATCACATGTGACCTCCATGGTATTCAACAGTGACATGTAAACATGGGCACCATCAAATGAAGTGCTATATAGAAAATATTGCTTTGGCTTTTCGGTGATAATGACCAATTTAATTTTTCAGATTTTTATCTCAAGCTGAACTAAATAAGAAAAAAAACACGACTTTTGTTGAACCTTGATAACACATCCTACATTAAGTGCTTCAGTCCTTGATGATTTTTTAATCAGCAAACCTTGATGTTTGAGTGTTTGACTAAAATTGAAGTATATTTTTGAAAAGATGAGTGCATAGTGCAGATCGTTGCTATTTTGCTTCAAGCAAAGATAAGGTAATGGTTTCCAAAATGAGTCTTAAAGATGTCTAACTGATGACTTTTAACTAAACGAGTCTCCTTATGTACATTAAGACATTAAAGCAGATTCAAACTGTGCCCGGTTCCCACCCTGCCTGGGTTGGAGCTTCATAAGGGGTGGTTCAGAAATACCATGCGAGTCCACGTAAGGCCATATTAAAAAAAATAATGAGAAGAAATGGGGATGCCATAGGGAGGATAAAAAAGGGTTCAAAACAGCGAGATAAAACAGGAAGAGGTAAAGGGTGCTTAGTTCTTGCCGAAGCTGCAATCCCCTCTTCAGGTGGTTGAGACAGATTAAAAGAAGCTAAAGAGACAAAGAGAGAGAAAGCCAGCAGTTAGAGAGGAAGAGGCAAAGCAGGAACTCTTTCAAAAAAGTCAAGCTCGATATTTAGAAGTGCATCTGGTATCAGGTAGAAAAAGTGAGGTGGTACAAACCCTGTTTTAATAATAGCATAACAAATCATGGATTAAGGTCGAGTGATGGTGCTGAAATTACTTGTTACAGGTGCACATGATTGTCTTGTGAAACTTAACACCACACAAATATAACTTAAAAAAAACAAGTGCTCATCTAATCTTCAGTAAACTCAAGTGGAAATACTGTTAGTCACAATAACAACACACAGTGCACATAAAGTATAAACATAAGCAGAGGCAGCACAGCAGGACTTAATATGGCTGAGGGTGAGGTTAGAGCTGCAGCAAAACACAGTTACACATGGAGCAATATTATAGCAAAGCAGGTAATGATTAAGAAACCCTGAAGGATGGGGTCCAGAAAGCCTCTGGTCACATTTGAGGTACTCAGTACCCACAAAGGGCTGGTCCCTTAGCAAAGCTTGAGGGCTGAGGACCTACTCAGTGCAGAGCCAGGGATTACTGCAAAGGAAAGTGAAACCACACATACCAGTGAGCGCGGGATAAAAGAAGAGGGAAGGGCTTTTGTAATGTACTTTGACCCCTGGTATCATGAATTTAAGTGTTTAATGTCTTTATTGCAAAGACAATTTTCTCTTACATAGAGGCAATGAAAGCAACCTTTAACCTTGATTTAGTGGGAAAGAAAAAAGAAAAAGAGGGAAAACTGGAGTCAAAAGATGCCCTGTGATTCTGAAGACAAGTGAATGAAAATACCTGAAGAATTGAAAGAACCAAGAAGCAACCAAAGCTGTGAAGAGACTCTGGATTACAGTCTCTTACACTTACTGGCATCAATATTTGTTCAATTAACAACCGTTAACTGACAGGCAACATCATGCAAATTAAGCATAACCAATTTCCCCATTTTTTCAAGTATGAATCTTTCCTCTAATCTCCCTCTTCACAGCAGAAGTTGTTGTATATAATGAGTACGGCCACAGTTGAAATATTTGGTGAAAAATTGGCCTTTATTTTTCCTTGAGATTATGTTATTTGATGCAATAACAATGATACAAACAACATGGTCCCTGCAGGACATTAGACATCCTGGTGACTGACTTTCAAATGTGCCTTCATTATAAGTAAAAGAAAAAAAGAAAGTTACAATTGCACTGACAACATTACTTTATATACTCAATTAGAAACATCACATTTGTTTATGTAAAAAATGTGAAAGCTAAGAATGGACATAACACATGACAGTAAATGAGATGTGGGAGAAATGGTAAAGAGATTAGGCTCACAACCACACATGCAACAGGTTAAAGTGAAACACCATCAACACAGGGACATGAATACTTTAAAGTAATCATGGCTGCCAGGGTAATGGGTGGAAGCTGATCTATTCCTGAGGACTTTCGTGGAATCAAATTCTTATTTGGATATTACATGTATAGTTCAGTCCAAGTTTATTTAGATTCTGTTATCATTTGTCAATATTAAAAAAATGTTTACGGACGGACTTATAGGATCAAGAAATGACTATCAACGAAACTGTTATGTTACTTCTACTATCTCTATTACTGTATCACAGTGAGGACTGACTGCCTCTTCTACTTGTGCTTGTTGAACTCTTACTGCTTCACTTTAAGAAGGTTCAACTGTTAACCAGCTGGGTGTTTAGTTTTGAGGCGGTCACAGACATAAAATGTATTAGATGTATTAAAAGACACTGATAAGTATCATATATATTAAATGATTAAGTTCCAATTGGAGATATTGCAGGGAGAAGCAGTGCACGCTGTGTGTTTTGAAAAGCTGAAGAACAAGAATGTTGGTAATTGTTGGTTCAATCACCTTTTAAAGAAACTGCTGTTACTAGCTTATAAAATTGAGAGTTAATAATTTCATTAAAAACATTTTAATCTGGACCTGGATCATATTAATGCCTCACTGACTTTACTTTTTTAAAGCAGTCCTCTGTCTTAATTCTTTCCTATTTTAGTCTACTGCAGATCTTTGGCCACACTTACAAAAACACTGGCCCAGTGTCTGATGCATGTTTCACTAAACCCTCAGTACATTTCTACAAATCAGAACAGTGGTCATGTATGTTAATATTAAAAAAGACTCACTCTATCATGCAAAGAATCACTGAATATCAAACAAATATGGAATGCATTTTAAGGACATGTCTTTAAAAAAATGAAAAGGCTGAATAATTGCTTGTACAAAACATTAAATAGACAAGCATTATTGGGCAAAAAAAGAAAAAAGGCACACTGCTAACCCAGCGTCTTCCAGAGAGCAGGGTGGAGGGCATGTGGAAGGTTGAATTATGAGGGGGTGGGTGAGGGCGAGGGTGGGGGAAGGGGTACTGTAAAAAAGGATGTTGGGGTTGAAACTCATTCACAGCAGGATGGCCACAAGGGAGCACTTTTTTGTCTACAGGAACCTTAAGCTGGAAATGAAAGAGAAGGGCTGTTAATGCTTTCTTGTAAGTTAAAACATCATTAAGACACACACGCACACACACACTGTTTCACATCTGTGACATCACATCCACAATCGTGACCAGATGGTATTAAGAGGGGATCGTGCTTTCATAGCTAATTTACAGATATGAGTGCACAAAGGTTAAGAGTGTTAGTACAGTTGGGTTATTTAAGGACAGAGTCATGTTTTTTTTAGAGGTTTGGTCCCATCCCCGACTGTAGAACAAGATGTGTATCTTGCTCATCAATCAGCATTTTGTTTTCACCTATTTTAATAGTCCTGAACTGCTCGGAGTTTACAGATTGTGAGACAGATGTCTTCGTTCACTTCTTTTCTCCCAGCAGTTCAGCCTCGACAACATCTTTCTTACATCCACTCAAGGGATGTGGGCGGGGGGAGTTTCATCATATGGTTGGAAGATCAACAAAACATGTCATCTTTATGAAAAGAGATGGGCCCTGGGGCTCTTCGCTGCCCTTGACTGGCTCTTTGTGTGAATGTAGGGCTGTGCGGGGAAGGACTTTCAGAAAGCCACAATAAAAAGGGAACTGTTGTGGATTTAGGAAGGCAGATGGGGCAGTATATCAAATGGGTGTGAGGGGAGCTTATAAACTGGTTGATTTAGAAGCTGGCAGAAGGACGGTAAACACTGCCAGCTAAAGGATATGGATCGATACAGAAGTTACCATCGATATACTTCCTGTCTGCTACACTTATTTATCTGAATTTCACATTTAAATACCTTCCATGGTCGAATTAAATGTGAATGAAATTCGATTTCACAACTCTTAAAGATTTGTATCATTGCTCTACTCAATTCCAATCTGGTTAATAATATTTTCCTATCCGGTGTTTTTTAATTAATTAATAATTAATAATTATTTACTTTGTAAATGGGAAAATCAACAGGCTTGTCAAACCAATGAATGAAACCCATTTTATATTTTATCTAGTTATATAGGCATTGCATTTAGATTTTTTGTAACTCAAGAGGGGAGTCTTACCCGAAAAGGTGCCTCATGCAGCATGCAGCAAGTGTGGGTGTAGGAGTTAACTGGAAAACATTATGGATGCAACATAGGTGACACATGCATTCACAGGACAGATTCACATCGTACACACAAGAAGCAGGTATCAATAGCTGTGTCGTCTGGGAACTGAAGAAAACACTGACTCAACCCTGGTTTCTCTGCTATTGAACCCAGGAAAAATCATTTTTTCCTTGGTAATAACTATTGAGGATCCTTGGTAAATAAACAGATAAATAAACAAGCAAAGGATTTAATACAACCTGACACTTATTCATCTGTGTTCACACTGAGTGTGCGACTGCTTTAGTCAGTTTTAATCAGTGACCCACAGACAAAGCTAAAGATGTTGCTCTGATGCTCCTTTTGGAAGAGAAATGATCCGGGCAGAGCTCATGAAAAGAGAAAGTGGCTGTGAAGGAAGGGCATTAACAGGAAAGAAAAAATAAAGCAACAAGAACCTTCTCAGTGCAAGTGTCTTCTTCCTTTTTCTAACAGGCACGGCGTCACATCAGCTTCAACACAAAACCAGGAGTCGATTACCAGCATGAAGGGACCCACAATATCAACAGAACACTTAAAGAAGACATCCGGCCTCTAAACTTGTTGTGGAGAAAAGTCTCATGATATAATTAAACATACTGATGAACACTTTAGAGGGGGGGAAACAGAATGAATGTTAGATAGAAAGAGAAAGAGAGTTTAGTCTGCAGTCTGATTAAAACCAGAGGAGAGTCCACTGTAACCACAGCAGAAAATGGGATGAAGGAAATACTGCCATATGAAGCAACTGAAACATTTATGATCTGTGATGAATTATTGTAAAACAGATCATCCAGTAATTGTAAAGAAACAGTTTCAATTAAGTTGTTTACACAAGTGTGTTTTTCATTTCATAATGGCAGTTGGAAACAGTTCAACTATTTAGATGAGAGCAGCAGTAAGTCATTTTCTCTCTCACTGGTCAGTACATTCTTCGTTATTGTATAAATAACATACTTTACTGATCCTGAGGGAAATTCAGAACCAGCAGAGTGACAGTGAGAAAAGCAGTTGGCCTATGTAAAGCCAATAATTGCTGTTTGGATTTAACTACACAAATATCTGGTGAATCATAATAAGCATGTTAAGAGCTTATAATATTAGAGAGACAGACAACAAATACATTCTGTCTGTGAATCAATTACTACAGATACTGAGGTTTAATGTCCTGGAACAATAGTGTAATAAAATGTAGCCTTGTTCCTCCCACATCATTTTCCTATCCTTACACAACTTGAGGTTGTCTCCAGGGCCTGTGGAGAGGATAGACATTACGGAAGGAAAAGCATCGAAGAGAGAACAATACTTACTTTTTCCTCTCTTTGTCCCGCTTGAGTGTGGTGGAGCCCCCTGCCTGCTGGGCCTGGTTCTGCAAGAGCTCTGCAGCAGTCTTTTTCTGTTTAAACATGTTCAGCTCGTCGTCCAGAGACTTCCTCTTATCCTCCAGTTTCTTTTTCTCGTCCTGGTGAAGCTTCTTTAAACGGTCAAACTTCTCATGCAGCTGTAGCAGAATAAAGAACGCTCCGTGTTATTCAAAACTAAAGCGGTTACTTCCTCATAGAAAGTTTAATGATGCAAGTTTCCTGATTATACCTCTTTCTCTGCTTCTTTGAGCTCGGCCTCCTTCTCTTTGACTCTTTGGACAAACATTTGCCTCATCTCTTCTTCTTTCTTCTGCAACTCACCCATGAACTCGTTCCTCTTGGCTTCATAGGTCTCCTGAAGACTGCGAGAGGAAGAATGATAAAGGAAAGCTGTTATCTACAGAAAAATTACGTTCAGCTACACAAACTTAAACTTCTGCAGGAATTGCACAGTATAAAAAGGTTCCAACAAAAAAATGCAACACATGGCAGAAACAAGCAGATGCAGTCAGGAGTATATCCAGTGGCATGAGTGTAGCCTCAGGTCCACTACCTAAAAGGTTTGCTGTCAGGGTCGGTATCCTTGAAGCCCATTTCTTCAAGTTTACAACGACGGTAGAGCTCGTAGTGACGCGTGTGGGTCTGCTCTCGCAGGTCCTCCATGTTCACTCTGATCAGCATTTCTCGCAGTTTGACGAAATCACAATGGTTCTCGTTTTCCACTGGGAGACACACAGCAAAGTGAAACATGAATGTTTGTACCAACAAATCAGATGAAAACATCCACCACCATCATTTCATGTCAAAACGTTTACAGTATCAGAAACAGATCAGGTCACTATAAGTTCTCTTCACATTAACATAAACTCACATTTTATAATGTAAGGTTTTGTGACCAGTCATACAAACAGCATCTGTTCATCACAGAACAGTGTTCATGTCCTGCAGCCTGTTTATTGATTTTGTTAGTGGACTCAGTGATGCACCACACTGCCTCAGATCATGTGAGTACACATGCACCCAATTTTAGATAAAGCCCCGTGACAGAAATATAAACAGAGACATCTGTAAGCATTAGGACAAAGACAATTTTTTTATATTGTCCAGGGCATTGAATTCCATATCAGTGTTTCCCTCAGGGTTTATTTGATGGGGTAGTGGCCTTGTCCCTCGCTCAACGGCAGGAGGCACAACATTTGTTTCCTGTTTGTTTGTTTGTTTGTTGTGAATGAAAGGAGGAAACAATGACGTCATTTCTTTTTGTGAGTGTTTTAAATTCTGACTTTGGACATATATCTTCTTTTTAGGGTCCTTAAACAATCAGGCTAAGAAGATTTTAATGCTCCCCCTCTACTGTGTTAATTAATTAAGCTAAAAAAAAATGTTTTATATATATTTGAGATACATTACAATACAAAACAGTGGCCTTGTTTACATGCTGTAAACTTAAGGGGACGGAATATTAAGTAAATAACATCTAGAGGTGATGGTGCTTCCAGAGAAACTCAGGATTTTTTCTGCAAGATTAATGTCTGACAAAGTTAAGTGTTTGGAGAACAAATTTAACCATATTCAAAATATCTGAACACCGTTTTGTTCCAAATGCTAAATGAGTGAGTTAGTAAGCACTTGAGTGTGTTCTTTTTTGACACAAGTGAGACTCCTTGATTGCATATGCCAACTTTGCAATGCACAGCATGTGATCTGATACCGAGAGACACAGAGTCCTACTTAGACTCAGATGGAGGTAGGCTGAACTCCCAATCACAGGTTTGAAAAAATAATCAGCATTTTTACCACTTTGGTATCTTCTGTACGCCGAGGAATGGAAAAAGAAAATAATAAGCAGGTAAATCAATAATAAGAATAATGGAAAGACGCAGCCTTACACAAAGTCAAAACAAATCTGTCTACTCCCTTATGTACTACACAGCATTCAAGCTGTTTGCAGGATGCATTGAGTCCTGGAAAACCGTCCAAAAAGCTCCCACACATTCAGACACATACTTGACAACACAGTTGTCAGGCTGGAAAAGTATCAAAAACCTACGAATCAGAGCAGTGCTTAGTTGAGCCTTTTGATTTGTACAGTGTGAGTACAGAGACTACCATCTATTTGCAAATAAATTCACAGACTACATTACAGATTGATCAAGCAGGTCAATAAATCTGAGTCATCGTCAGTGACGTAATATGTCCATATCTGTACTAGCTAAGGGCTACTACAGCTCACACAGACAGTATAATGGCTGAAGGGTTGCTGCAGCTAACTGAGGTTATATAACTGGTCATCAGCTAGTTTGTAGCAGCTGATGCAGCCGAGCAGGAATATGAGGGGAGGAGAAAGCTGCAGCAGCTCTGACTCAAGGGAGGGCGCTCTCATTTCCTGAGCAGGATGTGACCTAGCCTTACCCTGAACTGTTCCCCAGGGGTACTGCCGGGCCTTTACCATCTTGTTCCCAATCTTCACTTCCTCTGTGCTCCCCACTACAGCAAATGGCAAGTGGCTCTGTGGAGAAGAAAGAAAAATAGCATTGGTATACTTCCAAACACACCTGAAAGCTCTGTGGGATTCCAGTTCTCACCTCACCTCACCTCACCACGTTATCCAAACAAATACATGCTGCAGCTCTGGCATCATTCATAGCTCAAAAATCCAAGGGTATTACTGCAAGGATTTAATTCAAACTTGAGGACACATGTAACCTAAATACAGCTAAGAATTCCCAAGTGTTAAGATCACTAAGAAAACTGTTATTTGTTATTTTTATGTATATGGTCTTACCATTAAGAGCTCATACTCATAGACACCTTGGAAAATCCCTGACAGAAGGGTGTATGACCTTTTTTTTCCACAGATTTGTGTTCAGAGAGTACAACAACAAGCCTAACACAATCAGTTAGAAAGAGTTAAAGCATTTCCACTTCCTCATAAACAGTTAAATAAGCCTTGGCTCGTCTGCCAGTGAACACAGGCTCTTTCTCACACTGCAGGCTTCCTGCAGAGAGAGCTGGCTGATTGTGCAGCTCTGAGCACACTCCTCCCTGCATGAGGCGGCTTCCTGACAGCCTGAGCAGACACAGACGATGCCTGTGACTGAGCCTATATCACATGTTGTTTATGCCGGTAATACATAGAAAAGTTTGGGTCAAAAAACTTACAAACAAGAATTCAGAGAGACCACCAACATGACCTTATAACTCACCTCTAAAATGAAACAATCAGTTGATTTACTTTTACTTACTAATTGTCATTGTAGAATAACCACATGTGTACTAGTGAAATATATTTCTTCTTGCACAATCTGTTTATTCCCAACAGTGCAACAGTGCAGGCTTTTCTGATGCAAATACATATTTATGAAAAATGCAATGTACATTGTCCACTGTGAAATATATGTTTTTTCTTGAATGCATATCTTGATAAAATTAGATGCCGGAACATTGAGCACTGAAAATGTTCATAATTTCCGTGTACAGTGTACAATAACAATGAAGGCTTCCTCTTCCAAGTACTGTCTTAAAGCGTGTGATGTGGAGAAAGCATCTTACGTTCATAGTGGAGTTGATCTCTGCCACAGATTCGTCGTCAGTGGGAAACTGGTAGATCTGCACTCCGTTGCTGACCAGCTCACTGGTGATTTTGATTTTGAACTTGGCCAGCTCACTCTTGGAAATAGCGTCCGACTTGGCGATGATGGGAATAATATTGACCTGCAGTGAGACGTGACATAATGACAGTGTGCAGACAATGCTTTCATATACAAAGCTAAATATAGAGGAGATTTTGAAGCGAAGACTGTCAGGTATTCCTGTAGTCAGGTTAAATAACAGATTTAAATACACACATCCATATTTTTCTTATACTCCCACTAATCACTAGTTTCCCATGAGTGTAATAGTAATTTAAAGTAAATTGCATAAAAGAAAGTGCAATAAATACCCAATACTATCATCAGTATTTTAACATTCAACAGTGCCTCTCTAAAGCTAACAGATCTTTTGTAGATTGCAGACAATTACACATTCTTAAGCATGGAGATATAAATAGTAAAGAGCAAAGGGAGAAGAAGGCTTCCTTCTCCTGCTCCAGATAACGTATAAGCTGTCAAAACAGTGTAAAACATGTACACTATCAATATTATCCAAACAGAAATATAAATAGACAGATAGAGAGGAGGGAAAAGGCAGGCAGAGTGAGATACAGCAGAAACAGCTGAGGGATAATACATGAGACCCTCACTCCTACTCAACTAGTTTCCCTGTGCTCTGTTGCGTACACATTCATAACTCATGCTAAGGGGTCATGTGACCAAGACCTGAATCTTGTGACAATCCATATCTTAAGGACATTTCAGCTGAGAAAGTGTTTGAATGTAACCCCCAGGTGAGTGTAAACAGGGGAGGCTCTGCTCTGGATGAAGCCGTTGTGGGCTGCTGCCAGAGGGTACAGCTGCTCTGGCAAACACTGAGCAGAGTCTTTGTACAAAAGCCAGGATGTCCATGCAAATAAGCTACTGTGGTGGGGACCTCACAAAAAAAACGAGGCGGCAGTCATCGAGCTGACTGCATTTCACAGCTGACCTACACCGAAGCAAAACGAGACCAGAGTGACTTTAAATGCAGGCAGATGGCCTAGAAAAGGTTTATGACCCATGTGAGGAGTAGACAGATCAAATGGTGCAAACAGCAACACAGTGCCAAAGGATTTACCTACAGTATAAAGTGTCTATGACGTGCCACAGTTTGACGGTTCATGTTCAAAGGCATTATGTAACAGCTATTCTTTTACATCATCCTCCTGCAAGGAGGGCAACTGTACTTTTCATTTACTAGAAAACACTGACAGACCATCGCATTTGTGATTCTTGGAAAGTTTTATAAAACTGAATGGTAACATGTTAGATCGAAAGCTTCAATTAAAGCCTTATAATAGCTGGAATTGATCCGGAACTGATGGAAAACACCCAGATTAAAAAGTAGGTCTCTCAATCAGTCAATAACAACAAAAAATACAATGACAGATAAAAACAGATTTTGAAGCTCACCTTGCTATCAAGTTTCTTCATGGTCACCAAATCCAGGGATTTGAGCGAGTGTCCTGTCGGTGCAATGAAATAGAGGCATGCATGGATGCGTGTGTCGTGGTAGCTGTGTAGCGTGCGTTTAATCTTCAGCTCCTCCTGCAGATATGCTTCAAACTGGGCGTCGATGAACTCCACGATAGACTTGTAGCTGTCGAAAATGGACAAAGAGACAAGAAGTTTGACTTTTTTTACAGATATTATCTTTGACAATGTCATATTTTGTCACAAGGCACACACAGTATTTCCATTAACATTTGTGCAACACATCACGGTTACAGTGTATCAAATGTATTGATACACTGGAATATAGGATATAGATGGATAAAGATCCACTTTAGCCTTCTAAAGCTAGAAAATGCAGGTTTCCTTAGATGGTAAACAGGTAAAAATGGACTTGTCACACCTACACAGTCACACCCATTCAGACACTGATGGCAGTGGTTGCTATGCAGTGACACCATCAAGTAACTAATCCTATTCATACGCATTTATACGTTAGCAAAGCACAGGGAGCAATTCAGGGTAAAGTGTCTTGCCCAGGGACACATCGCTGCAGTAGCTGGGGAATCAAATCCTCGACCTTCTAGTTGAGAGACTGGAGCTCTACCAACTGAGCCACAGTCACCTCAAATAGCCCAAAATAATGTCCAAACTCATACTTCTCCAAGTTAACACTGATGCCATTCATGGAGAGCAACTTGCTTGTTTACACTTTTCTAAGCTAAAGCTGGTGGAATTTCATGATTTCACCATTTTCATCCGTTCTTATTTATTTGAGGACAAACTGCCTCAAACCCTTTTCACACATATGGATATCTCCTGAAAACTCTGGAGATTAGGGTCCCCAGAGGGGCTTTAGGCTATGTGTGAATGCAAACAGCCGCATTTTTCGCGCAGACTTTACCTGGAGTTTCTCCGGCCAGACCCCTGAGCTGATGTCTGAATGTGGCAGCATATACACCGGAGATTTCAACTTGAGCCAATAGAAAGAGAATGACGTTTATATACAGTGACTGTCTAAAGTGTCTGCACGCGACCACTACGATCTCCGTGCACGTAATTAAACGTCTGCATTATGTTTTCTGTTCGTCAGTATGTTGTTCTCCTCTCTTTTGTGGATGTTGTCATTCCATTGGACTACACATAGCATTGATATAAAGACAAATATTTTCATTATAACGTCGTGTAGCGGACTCTGTTGCTTCGGCCGCTACTTCCGCGTTGTTTATTTAGGTCACGTCTTACCTCAGGAAAATCCCCCGAGTCCCATTAAAGACAACAGGAAGCTTGTCATACACTTATCCCACAACATAAATGAAAAACAAATACAGAAAAACAAAAAGCTTGTGTAAAATGTAGGATATTATGCCAACACATAATCACATAGTCATATGACTACAATAATGTGCTTGTTCAAAATGCAGCAAGTCTGTGTTGTTTCCTGTGTGGCAAACGAATACAAAAAGAGCAAAGTGTAAAAACCTGAAAAACAACAGCAGCCTACTCATAACAAAGAGCTTAACCGACCTAATTAAGTGTGGATTTCTGCTTTCGCTTTCAAAGACCGACGTAGTAAAAAAAAAAAAAAAATCTGTGCTTCGGACCATCATTAAAAGACATGACTGTTGTCCACTCTGCCTTACCTGTCTTCTTTGTTGATCTGATCTCCGAAGCCCACAGTGTTGACGACGGTGAGTTTGAGACGTACGTTACTCTCCTGGAGTTCATAGGTGTTGGACTTGAGCGTGACTCCCGGCTGGTTGTGCTGGGTGGGCTCCCCCTCAAACTTTGTGTTAAACAGTGTGTCCATCAGGGTGGACTTCCCCAGACCCGTCTCGCCTGAAAACACAAAAGTCACTGAGAGTTTTCTTCTCATTTAAATTCAACAGGGTTTTAAAAAAAATTGAGCTGTCTTCCTCACCTAATCATTTTACGATATGCAATATTTCCACACCAAGAGAAATATTACTGAACACACCCTTTTAATTGTGCCAGCATCTAATTTGCAAAAGCTAATCAAATACTTTTATTCACTGTCATTAAATGCTACTCAATAAGGAAATAGGCTCTCTAAAGAAGTGAGAGCAGACGAAATGTGACATTTCAAAGATGCTTGAAAAAACGCATATCATTTCAAAATGCTAACAATTACTAAAACAGCAGAAATAGCTGCTCATTTGCAGATGTATTCTTACATCCATTTACTGTTCCAGGCTGTCAGATGACTCAGATACAGAGCGCGCTCTGTTGGAAATTCTATTTTTATTCATCACAGATTGACCTGCAGTCCAAGCATGTTATCCCATTTCTGTATGATTTCTCACTATGTTCCTAATTCACACTCTTTCCCCCAGATTCGAAATAAACTGATGCATCAAGGGTCCCATCACAGGTCTCTGGGGCCTGTTTAGGTCACTATGGAGAAGTCCCTCATGCTTAAGGCCATTTGGCATCTTGTTTGTCAAACTGACAGCCAAAATCGAGTCAAATCTCCTGAACACAACACAACAACCCCTGATGTCATAAATAACACGACAAAAACCTTGTGCAGAAGTATCAGGCACCTTTCAGCTCAATGGAAATATTCCTCTTAACAGTTTCTATTCCCTCCTTCATAACCAAGTCATGGTGAAACATACAATCAAATGCTGCTATTCAAGTAATGTTTGTAATACTTGAACACGCTGTACTTGTTTGTTACATGACAACAATTAAAAATGGCAAAAAAGGTAATGTTAGTTTCCTGCATCAATTATCAATGTTGCCTCAGTATTCTTGAATTCTAGTTGTAAAAGCAACAATAACATGTAGGGATGCTTTTTTTTTTTTTATACTACTAAAATATCCTTTCTCTATTCTCACAATAGCAGAGAAGTTTTCAGCTGGCAGACGAGCCAAAACTATAATACTTAAACAGGCAGAAGATTGCAATATTGTAACGAGGCATACAGCAGCATGACACAAATAACCATATACAAAGAATGTATAGGAAAATGAAATGTACTTATTCATTACTTTATCAGTGCTAATGACATTTTCAAATCTGAGGCTTAATGACATAGAATCTCTAACAGATACATCATTTAGATAATATCATAAATCTAGAGCTTCAACAACTTGGTATACCTGTACTGAATTATAGGACACGTAAAAAAATAAATAAAAGGCAGAGAAGAAAGACATTGCCATGTATTCAGTTCCCGTTGCTTTTTTGGGCTTTTATGAACAATCAAAACAAGGTGAATCCCGGTGGCCAGATTTGTTAAGCCTGAGTGCAGCAGGCAGGCGCAGTAATACAATAATGCCAACAGCCACAGTATTTTAATGTCTAGCCAGCACTCACTGATACAAAGAGGAGAAACATATTAGATAAGCCCTCTCAGTATAACACAGCAAACTGAAACAGAACCACTAACTATAATATTAAAGATGACCATATATTTAAGTCTAACCCTCTAAAAAGCTTTTAAAAGTTGAGCTTTACTCCTCCACAAGCTGAGATTTTATTGGAATTATTTATGCACTTTTAGATTTCATCAGCTTTGGTGCATCTAAAACATACACATACAACTTAAAGGTAACTAAACCCCAGACTTTCAGTTGTATATGCCTACATGTGAGAGAATAATCCTGCCTCACGAAACTAAAGTGACTTATTTTTGCGTATATCATATTCCATTGGTGTTTGACCTCTTAGCCTAAAAAAACACATATACAAATGCATATAAAGCAATGAAGTATTAGAATCCACCTCCGACTTTCCTGTATTAACTGTCTGGAAGCCTCTCACTCAAAAGCACTGCTGACAGGCCAGAGGGAATCTAAGCATGACAAATACTGAACAACGTGCTTTGCATCTTGTAAAAAAGCATGACTTTCACTGAAGCACATAAGTCGTCTTTCGGCCTAAGGAGACGGAGGAAAACTATTTCTACGCATGACAAACTCACCAACACAAAGGATGTTAAAGCAGAATCCGTGGTTGACAGACTTATTGACCAGCTGGTCAGGCATGCTGTCAAAGCCGACGTGGCCGGCAAGAGGGACGGCACGAGCACCTTCACCCTAAAAAAAAAACAAAAGAAATCAAAATGAAGATTCGGGTAAATATCTATCAGTCGTCTCCCACATACACGATTGATAGACATCAAAGTCAAAGTCAAAGTCAACTTTATTGTCAATTTCAAAATATGCCAGACATACAGTGGAATCGAAATTGCGTTTGTCTCCGTCCCGCGGTGCAATACAACCAAAATAAGGTAAAAAAGAGATAAGGTAAAATAGATAGAATAAAATGAGGTAAAAATAAGATAAATTATATTTACAGTAATAAATTCTACATTGTTAACGCAATATGCTTTCAGGCCTTTACACATGCATGCACATGATTCTCTCTGACAGGCCATATATAACATCTATTAGTTGTGTTTTTCTGCAAATTTCCACCATGTCTGATCATTTACTGATCTGCGACTGAGTACAGGTACAGAGCAGCACACTTCCTGTTTCCTGAGTTCTCACCCTGCCTCCACAGACGAGACAGTTAAAAACCGCAATGTACATATATGGAATGTGCTTTTAAAAAAAAATGTGTGGTATCAGCAAAGGGGTTTGATAAACAGACACATAATTTAAAGGCTTTTATATTAAAATAAACAAAATGATGACTAAATAAAAGCCAAGGATTCCATTCAATGCAGCTATTTTTTTTGTGTGGTTTTGTTTTTGTATCATTTTAACTAGAACCCTCAAACTCTGTATCTGCTGACTGCACTTCCTTTCACTCTACTGTTAGACTGCAGCCTATCTTTGAATAACGGTGACACAAACACTGAGGTGTAAAAGCACTGTTGTTACATCTGTGTGGGGGCGTGTAGCTTCTGCTGAGCATCTCCGTCTCTATGAATCTGTTTTCCGCGGCCTACTTCTACATTTACGAGGTGCAGGAAAGAAAAGAATTTAGATTATACGGCTAAGAAAGGCCTCTCAACCGGCTAAACCTCAGCCAACCAGCCATTATGTGGCTTAACATAACACAACATTTCTTTCCAATGTGAAATAGGCTTTGAGAGGAAACCACTCTCTTTGTGGGTCACTTTAAAATAACCTGACAAGCTGGTGGTGCTGGACAGTTGTGGAGTATTTGGATAGTTGAAATTGGGTTTAAACAGCTGTGGGAGTATTTGGAAAACAGGGGGTAATGTGACTGAACAAACAGCCTTTCCCTCTTCGGATACAAGTGTAACATTCCTGAATCCAATCCTGCATTTCAAGGCAGTCACAGCCAAGTTTTATACAGTTGGTTTTCATTCATTGGGCCGCAGAGGGATATCAAACTGCAAAAAGCTTGCTATTCTGAGAAGTCTCTCAGGGTGTAGTGGCTTCCATTTCCATTCTCCGAACAAAAACGCAGGAAAAACTTCACGCACGTTATTCAGAAAGCAGACGGTGCATGCCTATAAACAGCAAGAATCTGTGTTGTCCATTTCAATGCACATCAGACAACGCCCGACTGGAAGTTAACGGGGCTAACATGAAATAACATAACGGAAATGAGCACCGTAGGTAGCTCCACTAGAATGGGGGGGGGGGGCGTTCAGAATGAATGGCCTAAAAGATACCTCTGTATAGCCTAATAGTCATTTAATTAAACCTAATAACGTGTCTACTACGCAGTATTAATCTCAGAACCTTATATCGTATGAATTGTGATAAAGCTAAAGGTATAAAAAAGACTGAATCTGTTGGCGTTATCGTACGAGAAGAACCACTTGAATAAAGATATTCCAGCATAGGGCAGAAACGACTGAGCAGCCTTGGGCCTTATCCTGTTATTAACGATTTTAAAACAAAATCCGGAAATGCATTACCAGTGTTCATGGAAAACATTAACTACAATACCTTTTGTGCAGAACGGTGCACTGAATTTTGGACGGAATACAACCCACGAAAAGCGGGTTGTTACTACCGTCACCAGGGAAGCCTAAATCTACTCCGAACTACGGTATCTTATGTAATGCTCGAATTATATATTGTATACTAATGAAACTAGTACATTTGAAGAGATGTTGTTGCTACTAATAATAGTATTCCGAATAAAGTAGACTACTCACCGCTTGCCTCGCTATCTCAGTGGACGCCATGGTAGTAGCTGTTCGCCGGAGGATGAACCCTCTGCTGCTCTCTGTGTCGAGCAAAGGGAGCTTCATGGTTGAGGTTCATGGGAGGATGGTCCGTTTGGACTGTACCACTGCTCCGCATTTTCATTGTAGGCACCATATTAAGATAGGTTTGCACCGATTGATTAATGTGTTATACGGCAATTATTAACTTCTATACGTCGAATTTAGCTTTGATAACAACATACCAGATAGCTGTTATTTAAAAAAGTAATTGGCCATTGGACCCCCCCCCCCTCCACTCACGGGTATGCCTCAGTGGTTTCGTCCAGTGCGAGGGGAAGTGAACCACAGTCAATACACGTTACAATGTAACAAATGGAGATGACTGTTTAGTACAGGGGTCTCCAACCTGTTTTCATCTGAGAGCTACTTTCAAAAAATTAAAGTGGCCAAGGGCTACTTGCATCAAATCGCTTGCCTTTATTTACATAGCTCAGCTGAATTAAGCCACTGTTTTGTAGACGTGTGAAATTGCAATAAATTTATCAATAATCTTAATTTCACATCAATGTCCAAGAAAACATTAGTACTTCATACTTGTTTTTATGGGCCAAATATATGAATAGTGGGAAGAGGTGCTTTTACCGTCGTCAGATTTTTATTTTTATTTTTTAACACAGTCAGTCAACCTATAGGCCAGCTACTGAAAACCTGCTACCAGTAGCTCCCGAGCTACCTGTTGGAGACCCCTGCTTTAATACATAGACTGTAAAAATAGGTATTTAGTATGAGAAGCAGCTATACTTTCTGTTGTTGTTCTTCAGGGGTGATTTGTTGTTGATGTGATGCTCAGATGAAAACTGACATTCATACTTGTAAATGGAGGAAGGTGAAGCTGCCTTCAGATAAAATCTTTCATGGACAGTCACCTCAGTGCCTTAAGTTGATGAGGGGAAAAATGCAAAATCTCTCCTCAGAGCGATGAACTAAAATTTATGATGAACTCTAGCTTAGTAGAATTTTATGGACAACAATGAACTTATATGTAGCCTATTATTTACCCTTTTTTTAATACATATTTATTATTTGTTTATTATTGTATTGCCCTTCATTTATTATTTGTATACTTAATGTTACTATATTTCGTTTGTGTATTTTCTTTGAATTTTAGTTTATTGTATGACTTGTTTATTTTGGTGTATTAAGGTGCCTCGTTTTAAAAAAGGTGTTCACTTTTGCATTTCAATACCATGCCGTTTCTAAATTAGGCTATATGTGTATTTATAAGATAAACCCAACTTTTTACTTTGCAATAATATCCTACCATTTGTTTCGTGGCTACGGGAATTTAATTGCAAAAGTAATATAATGGATATCTATTCGTCGTGGTTTTACTTTTCAACGCTAATAATTATTAGTTTACTGAAAAGGTCATGGGCACTAAAAGGAAATAAAGGTGTGTGGTTTGAACCAGTGTGTCCTAGTAAGAAAGTAGAAATTATCACGGTTTTCAGGTTCAGCAGCATCAATCAGATACTAGTCAATAATAATGCAGACAGACCAGACAAGACCCTTGTCCTCGCGGAAGGAATCTGTTGGGACACGCCCATCCAAGTCATGTGACCTAATACAACCAATAGGACGAGGGCAGTGAATTTAAAAAGGTGCCGCAATCCTCAGAAACCATTTTTATACCATAACAACGTTTGGCTCCAGAGTGACAGAGAAATCAGCAGAGTCGACCACAAGTGACTGAGGTAGTTATCATTAACACTTTAACAACAGTGTAACTTCATATTAATATAAGATTTTGAATGTGTACGCTTATAATTTAACTTCAACTTTCATTTAGCTCGGCTAAGCTACCACAAGCAACAAGATGCTGTTTGGTTTTAAGTTAAGGAAGCAAACGATTGTTTGGTTTTATCTCCTACATTCACATAGGCGTCACTCGTTTATTTACAATGGTATAAGTCATTGCTCTGACAGTCCAAAATGACCGTAACTTTAATAAAGTGTCGGTGCTTTTATAAACCAAAGACTGGGTGAAAAAGGTGTGTTGACTTAAATTAGTGGGCTACGTTGAGGATAGCTGTACGTTTTGATTTCACATTACCATGAACACAATTATTTTACAAAACAATACTAACTAAAGTCCAATAACTGTTACTTCAAGTTACAACGCTTTAATTGAAATCTTCAGTCATTTTAGCTCAAAGCATAAAATGTGTCTGAAGATGGAGAACATATTGTAACCAAACCAGAAGGTATTTAGTTTATATGACACTGACGGGTTGACACTACACTTTATGTCTAATGAAGAAGAATGAGAGTTTCACCAAAAATATTCCAATTATATAAGCTGCACCTGCATCACTTAAATGGTTAAATGATTGTGAAAAAGTTGCGTTTTTTTTAGCTGACTGATCATTTGTCAAACTGTTTCAGCTCTAAAAGTCTAAACATGATTTTCATTCAAGTGGGTGTAAGCCGATGACGCATTTAAAAATAATATAGCTGCTACATCTGTCTGAACACTGTGCTTCCTTGGTGTATCTTCATCAGGTTAAGTTGTTCACTGTTAGGATGCTTTGAGGGTTGCATGAGCTAACATCAGGTTCTGTTTTCAGAAAAAAAATGGCCAACATAATCTTTGCAGAGCAAGAAAATGCCCGTCTTCATCCACCTTCTCTGAAGGTGCGACAGCGACTTCAGTCTGCTCCAGGTATGTAAAAAGCCGACTAATGGATGTCAGACTTGTTTCTTCAAGCAGTGTACAGACATGAATTAACCTCCTACCTTTTTTTTTTTTTGTCTCCTCCAGAGAAAGTCTTGAAATCTCCCATGATTGCCAAAACCTTGACCACTCCTCTCCCATCTGGTCGTAAGGCTTTTGGTACTGTCAACAAAAAAATCTCAACTCCTGCAGTCAATGTGCAAGAGAAGAAACTCGTAAAGCCAGAGGTTAAAACTAACTATAATATCTACAATGTATGAGTAATGTCAGACTACTAGAGTGTGATCAGCTTGAACTTTACCTCAAATGATGACTGTACTAACCCACCTTCTGTCCCCCCACAGGAAACTAAAGTTAAACAGGCTCCTCAGACCAAGGTGGAGGAATATCCAGAAATTGAGAAGTTCATCCCTTATGACCCATTGGGTAATTATGACACTGGCTGTATGGTCAGATTTTGGATACAGGATTTGAGCTCAATTCAAAAAAAACTTTATTTGTCCCTGGGGGGCAATTCAAAGGCACACAGAGCAGTAAATTAACAACAGTGCAAGTAAACGAAACATTTTAATCTAAATATAAAGTGTCAATTTAAATACAACTTAAGCTTAAACTTAACTTAAAAATACAAAATATAAAAGAGTAGATATAAGTGGACAGTGATCGGACTAACAGATGTAACCATAACTGTGCAGTAGTGACCAGATGTAAACAGAACTATATGCAGTAAACGAGAGAGAGAGAGAGAGAGAGAGATAGATATATATATGTATGAGGACTGTGCAAATACAAAATGATAAGTTATTAAGGTGCATGGTGAATAATGTATACTGAAACAGAAATAACGATTTTCTGTATAAACCCTTCTGCAGCACATTATCTTTGCTTCCTTGAGTCCATTTTTGTCTCATTGCCATGAGACTTAATCCATTGAGGCTAATCTGAGTTGCCAAATAATTGGACTTTCATTTGCCAAAAATGTTATGCATCTTCTTGTAAAATACTATTGAATAATAATAATGATATTAAACCAAATATTTTTACTCCATTTTTGCCAGAGTTTCAGAAGTACAGCATACCTGAAGATTTGATTCCTCTCAGTTGCTTTGCTCTACCTGGACTCGCTTGTTTCCCACAAACTCCACGTCTGTGTGAGGAGGACCTGGGGCAGATTGCTCCTCTCCCGAATCTTTCACCTGTGAAGATGCCAAAAACTCAAGGTATCAAGTTCCTGTTCTGCCTGCATTCACATGAATAGTCAGGGATGGAGTCCTAGTAAATTGAATAAGACGTCTCTTGGGTTTAATTTAGTTGCTTTTGCTTATCGTTCAAATAACTACTTAGAGAATCATACTTCAATGACATGTTTTTTTTGTTATCAATTGAAACTAGTTGGCATTTGAGTTTTGTACAGCAGTGTTTCAAAATGTTTGGTTGGATGATTATTTCTTAAATCTGTGTCTATGGTCAAGGATGACTTTTAAAAATGAGTATCAATTTTCTTTTAAGCTTGTAAAATAAAGACACAGGCAGTCCGCATTACCCTGAGCTCCAGTCATTCATAGTTAAGAGTTCTAGTTGGACAGCTTGAATATTAACAAATAGAAATGAACTAGCACTTTTAAAAGTTCAGAGTTCTTTTCCACAAAAAGCCCCTTGTCTGCAGGAAGTGGTTTGGTTTTACAGTCAGACCTTGAGTAAACCACTGCCTGCAAAATATTTGTCTAAGTTTAGGGCAATGAAAAAAGCAGCAGAATTTGGTTGATACCCTCTTGATTAAGTAATTTCACCACTGCGGGGCGCTATTCTCTTCCCAACTCTGCTGTTTCTAAAGATGCCTTTTTTTCTCCAATGCTGGTGGTGGGACAAAATTGCCTTGCTCCTCTGCCTCTGTTTATTTTATGTTAAAGATAAGGGGACAATCCCACCTTAAACAGGACATGACATAATCAAATTATCAAACAGACGCCATGAGAAGTTTGCATAAATACTTTTCGTGTTTGTTTTTTAAGAAAAAAAAAAATACATAAAACTTACTGAGGACTCTCGGTACACCTTTGAGACAGGAGGAGTAATCACTTTTCATGGTTACAATCCATTTTACTGTGGCATTGAAAAGGCCATTCAATTTGGAAACTGTAAGCAGAGTATTGGATTCTCAAATGTCTAGTGTTTAAGGTTTCTAATGCCAACTCTGTACAAAGGAGGAGCTTACCTTGCAAAAAAAATAAATGTTAAAAACTTACACCATTTTCCTTGCAGAAATAATTCTGTGGTAACTGTTGATAATATTATTATCTGCCTTTTTTCATTGAGGCCCCTTGTGTTGCAAATGAATGTCTAAATATTATTTTTTTCAACCAATGTCTCTTAAATATGTGAAACTAATCAGACCCATTGTAGAAAGTAACAGTTGTACTGAGTGATATGTTGCCCTATCTTGTGTTAAAAAAAAAAAAAAAAGACTTGATCAGGTTGAAAACAACATTGCAGCTCTCCAAAGAGACAGTCACCCTGCAGCTGTAGCCATTACGTATGAGGAACAGCTTTCAAACTACAGTATCATTAACCGACTGTATCATTAACCATATGGTATCTCCTCCTTTCCAGATCATCGCTCAGAACTAGACGCCTTTCTTCAAACGCTTAATGAGCTGACTGTTGAACTTCCTCCAGAGGCTGATACTGACTGAATGTATAAATGTTGTTTTTTCCATTGTGTTTTTTTTTTCCTGAAATAAAGTTTTATCTTTCACTTTTCTCATTTTGTGCTGCCTGGTCACTGTCATTGTGAAATTGTCACAAGCATACACTGCAATACTTCCTGAGTTGAGCCCATCAGTGGTCACATGTGAGGGATACTCGCCATTGGTTTTGCCTGAGATTAGAATAAACTTTGTTTCATTTCCTCTTAAAAGGGAAAGACGAGTCTTGACTTGGATCTGTAGCTCAGTAATTGCGGTAAAACAATCCCTGAAATAACAGGAAAAAGCTTACTATCCATTAGATTAACCGCAGAAGTTTCATGGACTGGGACGCGTAATAGTTAATGGGCGACAGCGTTGAGACGTCAGTGTGCGTTTTTAACGGAGTGCACTTTGAACTGAGCAGGTGAGTTACATTGTAATGGCGGCAGGTAAAGAAATGTTAAGATTTTTATGGCCAGAGGCTTAAATGTAAGCTTTTACTAAAATGCTAAGAAAAGAGGAACTTGGATTTTGCATTTAGATACGCCTTCACTTTCTTATTTTACGCATTTTGTTCGTGTTTCTTTTTTCTTTTTTTTTCCATGTTTCTTATCTGAACGTTTCCCAGCTGACACGGGGTGAGTCCGTGGAGAGGAGGGGAAACTGTTCCCAGTGTATTATCTGACACTGATGTCCTCCGGGTGTTGTCCAAATAAAGGGAAGTTGCCTTGAACTCAGCCAAGCAGTATGCATGACAGCAGATCGGATGATGCTGGATCTGAACCAGCTGTCAGCAGTGCGGACACCCACGGCAGCAGGAGGTCAAGACAGAGAAATGTTGTGGCGCGACTCTCGAGGTATGGCATGCAGGTCATGCCGGGTGCTTTCCAGCAGCGTAGGTCGATGCAGCAGAGGCGGGGAGAGGTCACTGACAGCACAGCTCCCGGAGGACCTCAGAGAGAGGCTACGGAGAGAGGATCGCTCACACCCGCCATGCGTAAAAAGTACCTGAAAGAGCTGCTTCTGAGCAACTCATCACACAGCGGGTTAAGCAGCGTGCTGTCCTCACAAACAGAAAGCGGGTCGTCGGAGCAGGACGCAGACTGGGCTCTGTACCCGATGGAGCACGCGTGGATGCTGCACGCAGTGGAGGGGAACTATGAAACCATCCTGGAGTACATCTCCGCGGACCCGTATCTCTTGACCAGGAAGGATTTCATCAGCGGGTACTCGGTTCTGCACTGGCTGGCCAAGAGAGGACAGAGCGAGATTCTGGTCAAACTTTTGAGGTTTGCAGAAGGAGCAGGGATCCCTGTGAATGTGAACTTGCGGGGCAGCGGTGGGCTCACACCGCTGCACGTCGCCAGCATGCACAAGCAGTACATGGTCATTAAGCTGCTGGTGGGGGCATTCGGTGCCAGCGTCGAAGCCATGGACTACAACGGCAGGAGACCCTGGCAGTATCTGGAGGGAAACGCCCCGCAGGAGATGAAGGAGCTTCTGGGCACCTGGGACGACGAACACAGATGTGGATATGCGCAAAACAGCAACAACAACGGCAACAATAACAGCGCTGGCGCGATAAAGGTGACCGTGCATGACGAGGTGGATTATGGAGAGAGAGAGGTGGTAAAGAACCCCTTTGAGCGGACCAAGAGGGGGGGCAGCTGGGGGTTTGGGTCTCTGAGGAAGCTGCTACCCTCGTTTTCATTCCTAGGAAACAACAGCTGAGTGAATGAGAAAGGCCTTTAAATTTGTCTGTGATTTTTATATTTAGTAAATTGCTAACCTCAAGTCATCATCCTTACAGGCCCAACACAGTCAGTGCTTACAGTGTACACTTAATCATTCTAGTATTTCTCTTGTTTGACTCTAAAGCAGTGCTCTAGATGTACACCTCTCAGGTGAGTTCAGAACAAAAGTTAGTTAATGGAAACTCACTGATCTGCCTACTGAAGTTGCATAATTGATTTCTTCTGGGGATTGGTCTGTAAATTATTTGTTAATTTCCTTAATGATGTATTTCTACCACTTTAGGAATACTACGTAGACAAACTTGAAATGAAAAACCTTTTTAGTTAATCTTGCATTCCAAAACTAGAGGAGTGGTTGCATGTCAGGAAGGTTTGGCACTTCAGTTACAGTGAAACAGCCACTTCTATACATTTCAGAGTATTTATATTGCATTTGTTTTCACTTGGCATCCCTTTAAAAATATTCTATATTCAATGAGCTCTTCAACTTGCCTTCTTCTTGACCCACTTCCATTTATGTACACAATCTAAAAGTTATGGCTGACGTGGCAAACATTTCCAGGACAGTTTTCCACATTTTCAGTCCTTTAACATTCAGTTTAGCCTCATTGAAGTTGTTTTCTTTAGCTCCGGCTACAAACCCAGAGTTTAATTTCCTGCCCACAATCTTCCATGAATAGTGACTCGGAAGAATTTTCTGTGGTCAAGAGGGTGAAACCCCCTTCTGAGTGCTTCCATTTCAACATCGCTGTGTCAGCACTCCCCCCCCCTTTGTCTGATTTTGTGTGGAAAGTTCTGAGTTTCAGTTATGTTACATGAAAGCAAAATAAAATCATTTTCAGTTTGATCACAGATCTTTTATTGTCAAACATGAGTATCTGTACAAAATGACTGTTGCTCCAGATAACATGGCTCCCTCCGGCCCAGCAGAGTTCTGGCAGATGTTGGGATGGAGGGACGCTGGGATCCACTGACCCTCATGTTTACAGGCCGAGCTTGGTCCTCCTCCAGTGTCTCCTCTTGGAGTTGTACCTTAAAGCACACACAAAATGTTTCAGGAAGTTAATTTAAACTTTGATGACATGAAATTAACCGTAAAAAAAACAACTTTCCAACTTGAGTGGAATAGACAACTTAAAGCTTTTATTTAGGATATCAAGTGTAATCTATATACCAACCCAAAGGTAGGTAATGCATTCTTATTAACCCCCAATGAGCATTAAATGGTGTTTTTGTATCTACAACTTCTTGGAAATCAAGGAGAACAAAAGGAATTTTAAAATGACAGAGGCCAACATTCAGCTTACATAAAGAGGAATCACATTAACTTAAAGGGTGGCTACTCCATGCAAAATATTTTGAAAGTAAGTTTAGGTTTAATAACTGAATTTAACACGAACAAAGCCACACATCATGAGCAGGTTGTGCGATTTTTGACAGGTCTCTATTTGCAGTATGTTGTTTCACAGACTAGGATTAAAAAAAAACATGGCACCATTAGATGACCATTGTGGTAACAACCAACATGATTTAAGATCACTAAAGATGGCAATTGTTAACACTCTTTGTAGTTCTAGTAAACTGTTTTGAGATGTACTAGTAAATCACCCTCTGAAGAAACAGCTAGAATCCTCTTAACACCACTGAATCACTGCAGCAGTTTTAGGACCGGATCCAAGCTGTAAACATTTTAGCAAAGACCAATACAGAGGAAATCCTTCAGCAAAAGCAATTCAACAAGCAGATAAGCTGATGGTGCAAACAGCGTGATGTTCAGCTAACAGAGCATCCTTATCACAAACAGTGATCAGGAGGAAGAGCTCTGCAGCAGAAATTTGCTCTCAGCAGGATTAATGACAGCACTCCAACTGCAATGAAGTGCTGCAATTGCAGACCTGCTTTACATGATGGGAGTTTCAGCATACACATCAGCACTTAATACAGAGAGCCGAGAGGAAGCTCAACAATGAAACTCAGCTAGGAGGTGCAATTTAAAAACATCACCCCTTTAGATTGCTTGTAAAATCTTAGTGCTAAAGTTATGAAAAAAGCAAACTATCCAAACAGTGCATGTAAATAAAGCAGAACCTCACATCCTCCATCGTGAATAGGTAAATCAATTCAATATATCAACCTTGAAATAAACCATATCCTCACAAGATACAAATAATAAGGTTTCTGCTTTGAGTTTGTATTAAAAGCTGTATTTTGAGGTGATGTGGCATTTCAATAATGGTGAGTGTAATGTTTGTTTACAGGTATTCAACATTACGCAAGTATGACACTGTATAATTTAACAGCGCCACAAAAAAAACCTAGTTGAAACAACCCTTATCACTGGACATTGATGAGGTCACTGTATGACTGCTGTTCTAGGCAGCACTTGTTTAATGTAAGTTACATAAAAAAGGTAACACCTGATCTGTACATTAACATTCGTGTTCCAACTACTACACACTGCTTAAGTCATTTTATCTTTTACTCATCTGATTTTTATTTATAATGTCAGAGCTTTAAATTCAAAACAGCATTGAAATGGGAAATCAGTCTGCAGAGTTTAAATCTGGGCGCACTTTACAATCCGGGTACTTTCTGTGTAAACAGATGTGTACTGCTGCAGCTCAACGCGTTATACCCACATGTGGATTGTACGCTTCAAGTACACAGAAATATCTTACCTGATTCACCTTGCTGTACAGAAAACACACACACACATATGGTTTATGAACTCACCTGATCTTGTTTCCAGTCTTCATTCTGATCCACTGAGGAATGGGCCTGTTCTGTTTCTGCTTCTTGGCGAGGAAGCGCTTAATCCTGAAAGTCTTGTGGGACGACTAGAGGAACAAACATAAAGAAATTAACGCCACACCTACACACGTTTAGCTTACTATTGCAAAGTCAAGTCCAAAATGTAATAAGCTCTTAAGCGTAGAAATGAAGAAGCGAAAAACAAAAAGCCGGGGACTTCATCTGTAGGTGAAGGAGCTAACACGCGTAGCTACACAGACTGTGACTCTAAAATGCTTATTTTAAATTATTTCAAATCACAATAAACATTTGTGAAGCTTCGTACAGATGTTTATTAACGATTCTACGCATCTGTGCGGGTTAACACGGGATTCTGCCTCGGATGTTTAAAGATTTTGTATTTACCATTTTATCCGCCGTCCTTTCCCGACTATGGCGGTGGTCGAAGAGAGAGAGGGAAGTGACGTAGCGGTTTTATGCAACACGAGTCCACCAAACAGCGACACCACGTGGATGTTTTTATGGTCCTCCATCTACGACAGGGATGGGCAACTTGGGTCACAGCAAGGGCCACATTCATTTAACTCTCACTGCCAGAGGGGCCAAATTGTAGTACATAACAACGATTAAAATCAATGATGTCAGAGAATTTAACTCAACATATACCGGTGATCTAATATTATTATGGACATATTTCTGGTTTTCATAGCAGATTTTGTCATGTTTTCTTCATGTTTCCAATTAATTGATGTGTAAAAGTTGACCTGAAGGCCACGTTGAGGGTTGATGGGGGCTGCATGTGGCCCCCGGGCCGCATGTGGCCCCCGGGCCGGCAGTTGCCCACCCCTGATCTACGACGAGCCTTTGCTGATGATATCAGAATCAGAATCAGAATCAACTTTATTGTTCCAGGTATGCTTACACACACAATGAATTTAACTTCGGTGAACAATGTCCTCTATGTACACAGGTTTAACATATCATATAGAATAGAATAGAATAGAATTACTTTATTGATCCCAAACTGGGAAATTGTGGCGTTACAGCAGCAGGTTATCCAAACACACAATATGATTAAAAAACACAATGTTAGCAAATCTAAACACAATATAATATTAACTACAAAGTAGATAAGTACTAACAATATCAAAACTAAGAATGTGAATATATACAACCAGGATTTAACTAAGCATTACTAGTCTTAAATAGGACGATTAAATATGGAAGATTGAATGTAAATGTGCAAAAACAGAGTTGTAAATGGACAGTATTGACATAAGTTAAAGTGCATGAGTGTAGACTTAGACTTAGACTTAGACTTTCTTTATTGTCATTCAAACTTGTACTTTACAGTGCAGATAAGAACGAAATTTTGTTGCATTTGGCTCGTTGTAGTGCAGGATAAAAAACAGCAGCATGTATTTACATATAAAAAATAAAATATAATAAGCAGAAACTATACAGTATAACGGCGTGTAGACAGCCAAAAGAAGTGAACATGAGTGCAGGGATAATTTGTAAATGTAACAGGTGCAGAACAGATTACAGTATGGAAGATAAGATATTATCATGATGACAGTTCTCTGCTCGCATGAGGTGAGCTGTTGTACAGAGTTATGGCCTTCGGTAAGAAAGATTTCTTGTATCTGTCCTTGTGACAGCGGAGTTGTATCAGTCTGTTGGAGAAGCTGCTCCGCTGTTTGTCCAGTAGGGTGTGCAGAGGGTGATCAGGATTATCCATAATGGATAAGTTTATTCAGAGTCCTCCTCTCGGTCACCACTACACAAGAGTCCAGCTTGCAGCCTATCACAGAGCAGGCCTACTTAATCAGTTTGTCCAGTCTCTTAGTGTCACCAGCTCCAATGCTGCTCCCCCAGCAGTAATATGTACAAGATAATAGTACAGTGCTGAGTAGTGCAAACAAAGTGCAGGATACTGAAACGTGTAATAAAAACATGTGACAGATGTGTTGATTTACATGAGGTAGAGTTTTACAATATTTACATTACAGGTGTGCGTAGATTGATGATTTAGATTAAATAATATTTATATATATGTGTGTATATGTATATTCACAGTGACAGTTTGGTTCCAGGGTTTTTTGACAGGTCTGACACTCTGTGACTGTTCAGCATTCATCAGAATGACAGCCTGGGGGAGGAAACTGTTCTTATGTCGGGTTGTTACGGCGTACAGTCGTCTGTAATTGTAATGACGACTATGTGTGGTGTGTTGACTTGATGCTACAATGTGCACCAACTCCGTTATATTTCAGATGAAAATGTTTCCCTCCAACATGTTTTTTTTTCTTCTGACAGCTACACTTTGGTGATAAATATAAAATGAAAAACATCTAAAAATATATATTACAATATATTCATAAAACAAACATAACGAAAACTAATTCAAATTGTTCACAAGCTACAATATTTTAACTCTTCCTACATGTCCGTCCAATGAATAAATTATTATATTATATATTTAGATATCATATGGCATCTTATAACTGTATGCAAATTATAACAGAATACAGATTGTGTTTTGGTTGCAATTTGAGGTTGATACTTAATTTTTAAAAGCAGGAAATTTACTTGGAAAGTAAAACTACTTGTTTCAGTTATACATCAGAATTTGAGTCATGCTTACAATATGCTGGATGGATATTGAAAGGCTGAAATATATACAGTAAATATGATAGACAGGCCCTTTATTGTCACTGTAAAAAAAAGAACACAATGAAACTATGTTCATTTAAACAGATTTTTGGACAAAGTGATTTTATTTAAAAAGATTATGGCAAAATTGTTTATGGCATTTAAAAAAATACTAGCACTCAAATGTAGTTTTAGAAGTTAATTATGTTTGAAAACATATTTTTCCAGGGTATCTAACAATAACTCAACCTGTCAACCATCAGCAAGGATTTAAATAAGGTTTCACCAAAGACAAGAAACAGAAACACTTCAGTAAAGACTTCTTTTATTTCCAGTCAAAACTGTACATCAGCATCACCAGCAGTGACATGTTCTCATGCTGCTCTCAGTTTACTGCATCACACATTCATGTCTCAGGAGATTTCAGGTTAGAAAAGAGGAAAAGGCCACAGATTTATCCCTCCGTCTTGCATGCAGGCACGGCTTTAACATGGCAGTCTGGTCAGAAAATGGCTATTTCTCCTCAGTCACTTCATGAACTTAAGAACAAAACACATGATCTTGAAACCAGGTAAATTCAGACTGTCTCGTTTGAGACAAAAAATATGTTTGAGTTACAGACCATGATAAAAGTTCTGCACATTCTTTTGGGTTGTCTCGTTCTCCATTGTAAACTCATAAGTCATTATGTGTACACTTCCTTCTTAATATGTCAATGCTACAACAAATGTCCCATTCAACACAGTGTACAAACAATATCAATGAGCCTGGCAATGTTAACATATATAATAATTGGAAAGTTAAACACCTGTGGAGTTTTTTTTGTAAATATCCAGAATGTGATGTTTTATGAACACTATAGGAAGCCATGTTTGCAGTGTTACAACCTGAACTTCAGAGAAACAATACTGAAATAAGGTCACTTTGAGTTCACATGGTCCAAGAAAGCCTCTGCTTCACCGAACGTATCCTACAGCCAAACTCTTTCCAATGCTTACTGTTCCTTTTCCAAAAAATAAAGCTACACAGGCTCGTGTTTTAGGCACTAAGAGGCTTCACAATCACATCTGTGCCTCTAAGACTGGGAGAGCCAGATGCAGCCCTGTTGGACCTGCAGTGCACGCCACCCTGAGGAGCCACATCACTGCTCTCAGCCTGACAGTGCCTGCCTGTCTCCTCTCACCTCACAACACTTGTAATGCTATGGTTAGAAATCTGCTCAGTCCTCTACTTGGTCAGCCACTTTCTCTGTCTCAGCGTCTGGCTTCCTGTCGGCAGAGTTGGATTCTCCTCCTCCTGTGGTCCGATTGCGGCTTCTGGCCCCTGGCTGGTACAGTTGAATAGCAGGCCGGTCCTGATGCAAAGAAACAAAGCTATTTAAAAAAAAAAATCTTTAAATGATGATGATTTGAAAATCTAAAGGGCTAGGTTTTTTACCTTGTTTCGTAGCCTCTCTCGTTTACTGCTTTCCTCCCTCTTGTTGTCTTTGGCAGGCCTCTCTGGCCTCTCGTGGTCCACAGCGTTTTCACCCTTCTTCTTCTCCAACACGCGCTCTTTGTCTTTCCTGACCTCTTCATCCCTCTTCCTGCATGAGTTCTCACCATCCTGCCGCTCTCTCCTTCTACGACGGTCTTCATCCTGACGCCTGAGACGCTCCTTCTCTTTCTGCCGCCGCTCCTTCTCTCGGTCTCGTTCGCGCTCTCTGTCGCGGTCTGCCCCCCGCTCCCTATATTCCTTCCGCCCATCTTCATCAGCTCTGAGTTTGAAGCAAAAAACACAGTTTAAAACTCTGTAAAAAGTGAGCACATGTTTTTTTTTTCCCAATTCCTAAGGCAACTAACTTCCTTCCTCGATCCTCCTTATTTTCCATGTGCTGACGCCTCTTGTGATCAGCACTCCCCGTGAATTTGTCCTCTTTATTTGGCTTCTCTGGTTTCTTGACTTTTCCTTGGGCTTCTCAGAATCAGCATCATCACCTCTGTCCGGCTTCTTCAGGAGCTACTCAGTAAAAAAAAAAAAAAAACACAAAATCACATGGGATACTTTGGTGTGTGTGTGTGGGAACGCACCGTTTCAATCTACTTCAGCACAAACCTTTATTTTTGGTTCTTCTTTAACTTGGTCCTTGTCTTTATCTGATGGTTTCTCAAGTCTCTTCATCTTCTCTGCCTCTTTGCGTTTTCTTTTCTCCTCGTCCCTCCACTTGCGACGCTCCTCGTCACGCAGACGCTTGCGTTCAAGCTCCCTCCTTCTCCTCTCTTCTTTCTTTTCCTCCCTGATTCTCTGAACAGCATCAAAACAGAAAATGAAGCAACAAAGCATTTGCCACTAATACATCACAAATGTTTTTTTAGCAGCACTTATTTACCTGTTTGTTCTTCAGGAAGTCCAGCAGAGGGGTTGTTTTCTTGGCTTAGAAGAGAAACAAGTACATTTAAATATTTTGCTTTGTTTTTTTTTACTGGTAACAAAAACAACAACGCAATGTTTCAGGCGCACTTATTTTGAAAAAAAAAAGTCATCATACCAACAAGCTCCTTCGATTTTGCCTCAAGCTCTTCCAACAAGGTCTCAGGTGTTGATGCTACCTCCTTGTCATCTCCGTTGTAATATTCAAGAAACTTCCTGTAATCAGGATCTGAAAGAAAATACACAATGTACTAAGAAAGACAAGCTGCTGCTCAGAGGCATTTTCAGAACAGACCAAACCGTAAGCTCCAGAATAGTTGACAAACACATGAACACAAGCAATAATCCAGAATATTAAAAAAAGAAACTACATTAACAAGGTTACACATAGAAAATGTTTATTTATTGCATGGTTAAAGGAAACCCACACCAGA